GGGATCCGCGCTGGGCGATGCTGCCACCTGGCGGCCAGACTTCGTCCGCACCGCGAGCCTGGAGGGCCGCGAGCGGTGGCCGTCCAGGGGTCGGAATCCCGCCGCTCGCTCGCGTTCCGCAACGGCCTGGTCTTTTAGGAATCCCGATGGGCCTGCTTGCCCGCGCCCCCGCTCATCCCTCTTCCTCTGTCCGGGTCATGGACCCGGTGGGAATGTCTTTAACCACAGGACCTTAATTTCGCCTTTACGCAAAGAGGAAATGTACACCTGCCACAGGACTTCAAGGGTCCGGGGACTTCAGTGCACCAATACTGTGTTCTGGGTCTGAATCAGAATCTCAGGTCACTTTGAAATCCACCAGGCCGCCCTCTCTTACCCCCTCCTTTCTTGAAATACAATGGGGTGAATCTTGCACCCAACACCTAACACACACACGATTCACTCCAAGCCTTCTCCTCCCTTTCCTTAAACCTCTGTCCCCCTGGGAGTCCAGAGGAGAAGAAGCTTCCAGGGCCCTACTCCCCCTGCCTGCATCCCCTCTCCCATTCCCTGACAGGCACAGAACCACTTCCTTAGTTCTAGGATTCAGGGACACAGGATTTAGAGGGTAGCCTAAATCCTGTGATACCTAAGCAGTCTTGAACTGACCCCACGACTTTTTCCTTTAATCAATGAATCTTTTCTACCTTGCGATTCCCCAAACCCTAGCAAGACTTCTCCCGCCGCCCCTCCACGTCTCTCCCTTCCCGGCTCTCTGCCCCAAGACTGATCCAGCCCAGGTGCATCAGCTCCGCCCCCATTCCGAGGCGGGGCCCCATAGGTGGAGAAAAGTGGGAGAGGTCGCGGCCCCGCCTCTGCCCTCCTCCCGCTACACACGGAAGCTCAGCGACTTCGGTGCTAGGATGTCGGACGCCTGGGTCCCAAGCCTAGCGCCCACCTTGCTTCTTAGCCTGCTGGCTGGCCCCCACCGCGCGATCGCCTGGGAGGTAAGCCTGTGGAGCTTTTCGGGCCCTACCCTATTGGGCAGGGGCATGCCTCTGGAGCCTGGTCACCATCTCCCATTGTCAGGACTTCCTTGTGAACACACGCAATTAGCAACTTCCTTTTTTTTTTTTTT